TCTTGTGTGAACCAAACTTATCTTACGCACATTTGAGCGACATTTTTAAGGCCATTACAAACTGAGGAACGCATCATGATTATCTACAGTACGTTTTCGACCAACATCTGAAGTACTCGATAACAGCCAGCCTAAACAGTTGATAGATTGACGTCCACTCCAGGACATTCCTGAGATATGTGATTCGTGCAAATATGGTTTGCCTCTTGCTTGTGGTACAACTATATTATAGGGCTGCAGCCGAACGTCTCCACTGCGTTCAGTTCTTCGCAAATGTCTTCACCTGACTCCACGTCTTCCCACCCGATTTCATCTCCTCTTCACATGACCTCCTCCATGTCACCCTCACACTGGCGAACAACTCGCTGCTTCCAATTCGGTTTCCACTCGAACAATGGCCTGGCGTGTGACGTCACTTTACGATTTGTTTTCTCAAAGTACGGTTAATCCACCTCCATTTCTCTCTCCATATTTGTTGTGCACAATTCGTTCCTGGTTGGTTCGCTCCCAGAGATCTCTCTTGCTGATCTTTTCTGGCCAGCCATCTGATCTTGAGTGGTATTGAGTGAAGACAGCTGTTGATGAAGGTCTGCAGTTTGTTTCAGGTGCTCTTTATGACGCGCCAAGTCTCCGATCCGTATAGTAACACTGACTTCACATTGGAGTTGAATATCCGGATCTTATTCTTCATGCTGAGTGCTACTGACCTCAACAAAGACTTGAGAGTAATGAAAGCTTGTCTTGCTTTTCCGATTCTTGCTTTGATATCCTCGTCAGTTCCGCCTGCAGTTGGAACGATGCTCCCCAGGTGGGTAGGTGAAGGAGGTTGTTTCTTTCAGGTTCCTCCCATTTATGCTGATTATTGTCTGTTGTTTTCGCTGTTGCTGTTGTCCAGGAATCTTCACCACCTCTGTTCTCTCTATGTCCACCTGGAGTCCTATCTTTGATTCTTATTCTGCCAACTTGTTGCTCTTCACTTGCTTGGATTACTTTGCATGCAGCATTGTTGTACAACTGTTGGATGAGATGCATTATTGTCGGTGGCACCCCTTAGTAGCGAAGTAGTTTCTTCCAATCCTTGCACTGTTTCCACACCTTCTCCAGTAGCGGTGTCATCAAGTCCGCTGATGTCTCTGGGTCCATTTTTAGTGCTTCTGCTGGGATTCCGTCTGGTCCTGCTGCTTTTCCAGTATTTTACATCTTGACTGCCTTCAAGATTTCTTTTCTCGTCGGAGGGTTGATGTCAGCTGGTAAATCTGCTTCCACTGTTGATATTATTGGGTGCGTTGTAGGTGGCGGTTGATTTAGAAGTCTTTTGAAGTGTTTGGCCCAGTGTTTCCTTTGCTCCACCTCTTTGGTGAGTGACTTTCCATTGTTATCCTTCACTGACTTAATTTGCGTTGAACCTTTCCCCGATAGGTACCTAGTAGTTTGGTAGAGTGTTGAGAGGTCTCCTTTTCCTGTAGCTTGCTCTGCTTCGCTCGCTATAGCTTCATAATATATTCTTTTGTCTTCCATGGCAGTCTTCTTCACTCTTTTGCTCAGAGTACTGTAGATGGCATTCAACTCCTGTTTTTGTTGCTCGTCAATAATCTCCTGTTTCACAATCCTTCCTTCTTCTATTAGTCTCCATGTGTCCGTGGTAAGGCACTGCTTAACCTATCGCTTCCTTCTGCCTAGAACCTCCGTACACGTTTGGGTCCACACCGCTTTCGGACTGTTCTAGTGCTTTTCAACACTGGTCTCTTCGCTGGTGTTGATCTGTGTCTCCGACTTTTTCCTTATAATTGCAGTGAAGATGTCCTTTGTGGCCTGATCCTTCAGCTTTTGAGTACTGAACTTGGCTTGTGGTCTATCTGCAGCCCCTGTTTCCTTGAAAGTATTTTAATTTGATTTGGAGTGTTCCTTGCCCGAGCTAGTGGTCTGAGCCGACATCTTCTCCACTTCTTACTTTTGTTTCCTGTAAGCTGCGTCTCCACTTTCTTGGGATTGAAAGGAATTCAATTTGGGTTTTAGTACACCCGTCTCATCTCTCCCGAACCATCTTTATACAGAATAAAATTTCCATCTCTGTACAACCTCCCAAATCGTAGTGTGTGTGATACGGATAAATATAAAGTCAGTCAGGATGGTATGTTCTGTAATTGATCGTAATATGAAATAGTGAAAGCGTTCTTGTGTATGATCCCGTTACCCAAGAATACATGAGCATAACTTTAGTACAATATGGTCATGTATCGCACTTGATGCACATTTTAGTGACTTTCATCTTGACATTGCTGGCGCACCACTTCCCAATGGCTACTCGCACCTACAAGTTGACTAAAAGATATCCCCATACCAGATACAATGTCAGAAACAAGCTGTCCATGAGAAGATGCATTGCACATATTGAATTTGTCCTAGGGTGTCAAGCAACTCAGGCTAAAAGTTTGAATCTCCCGCCTTTAAAGAAACCTTCAGAAACACTGGGATTTTAACGTATGCTACAGTATTATTAGGCGGATTAATCTGACGTAAGCATCGGAAATTCCTTCTGTAGTACCCAGCTCACTCAGCTAGAAAAGATTACAGATATGTATATGTGACCGACTGTGTAAACTGATTAGGTGATAACGGATACGCGATGGGTTTGATATAACTATAGTACTCTTGTGTTACTCGATCACGCTTATTTAGTCTATGTCAGAAGCATGTACTGAGTCAAGTAAAAACAAAAAATTGAATGTTTAAAACAAATATATTTCGCGATCAACTTCACCAGCCTAATTAATTAAAGACAACTCACAAATAACCGAAGGTACCGGAGTGTGCTTAAACAAGTGGATTAAGCTCAGTCAGTGCTGGCTTTTTAAGAATTGGTAGACCATTTGTTTTATTGAATTATTTACCTCGACAGCCTCCATACAAATTAGGGGAAATGTGAAGAACCTGGAACGGTATATTCCAGGAGCAAAAGCTTGTGAATTATACCGTAAGTAAGAATTTTTCTTTGATCGTTTGCTTTCTTAAAATATTCAGTGCGTACGGACGACACTGGGTGAGTGTGTGAGCCCTGTATGAATTAAAGCGTCGGAACGTTGTTCTACTATTGATACGCACACTCGTTAAGCAGAGTGGTAAAGGTTCGAAAGAACGGCCTACTGGTCACTAAAAATGTTACCAAATGTTGATGACTTGAATAAAAACCACTCTTTAGAATATTCTATGAAGACCAATAAGTTAAAGGAAAAATGGTATTTCCATGAAAAAACTTATGCTTTGCACTGTGTTCACTTGCTTGAGCTTCTGACATTCGGATACTAAGTCTGTTCCTATAACACGATTCTGGTGCGTGGAACCCACTCTAAATAATCACTCTTGTTTCATTTGTCTCCGACACAATCAAGGTTTATTATAACACGCCTTCAACACTGTCAGTCAGTTGACTATTTGTTTGTGGGTATCAGCGGAAAACCCCACAACAAAATGGCTTCATCCCCCATCTCTGAAAAAGCTCAAACTCAAAATGCTACCTCCCTAAGAATTCGGTACAATGCATCTACCACAAACCATCTTCCCTAAATTCCACGAACGTAGACAACGAATGTATATCGCTGATTTTATTGCTTGTCCAGCATACTACACAAACTCTATCAACGAGAAGCTCCATTTATTTACGGGCCGTCAGTGTACAACTTAGCACAAGTATAGCTTCTTAGGATGAAGATAAAATTCTAAATGTCGATCATAGGCAGAGGACATTTAGACCCACTGACAACGAAAAATCCAATGGCCGGAAAAAACATTCCAGTGGAAGTCGACGTTTCCGTGGATGTGTTTTCTCGGTAACTGGCCTGCAGCTATCAGAGTAAGTGGCACAGTAGCTGCCTGTCATCCAGCAAGGTCACTTTTCGGCACAACCTTGAAATGACAGTCGATTGACTGATAAGTAGCGATAAGTGGTAGTAGGATGCCTGGGACGAGATAACCCAGTGGCTGAATCATACAGGATCCTAAAAGCGGACATATGACGTGATAGAACCCCCCAACCATTTGAATTTATCTTAGACCCAGTCACAGAAGTGAAGCTCACTTCAGTGTTGTCATCAGCGCTAGTACTAATCAACCATTAGACAGGCATTTCCTGAAGCATTAAAGGAAGCCAAAACCACAACTATACGCATACGCTGTACCCCAGGACTGGCAATCCGTGATGGAGGTGAAAAATAAGCGGATGACCTGCAACAGTGAGATTCGTTATCTGAGAGTGGGAACAATCAGGTCAGCTAACATCTTCATCCTCCCCCCCATAACATTTATCCGCATTTATTGCATCTCGAATCAAGGCAGTACATTTAGGATATCAGAACATCTAGATACATGTTCTTAAAGCATGATACACTTCTAAGGGTCTAGTGGGTAGAGAAACCAGATTCCGTGACAGGAAGCTAACGTATTGCAGTAAAAGCAAAGAAGGTTTATGCTACAGACCTACCTAATTGCATAGTGACGTCAAGTAGAGCTTAATGAAAACAGCGTCAGGGAAGCCAAGTTTCTAAGCTCCAACTGAGCTACTACAATCTGTAAACTTGTTCCGGAAAAACTGGTGTATCGTCTCTTATTCAGTTCAGCAGAGCTGTAGAAGTCGTAAAGATTGTCCGACCGATAATCTGGATCTGTTCTGAGAGAACAAGAGGCGAGAACTAAGAAATCAAATGATTTAAATAAGCCACTCAGAAAGATACTGGACTATGGATCTATAATTTTCTGTGAGACAGAACATGCTCATGGTGCTAACGTCCAGTAGTGTAAGCCCAGATGGCCATTTTTCCCACAAAATATCAGACGTAACTTTTTGACAGAAGAAAAAATCATCATGCTCCCCATTCGCCTTAAAAACTAGATCATACTTTCCAAATTACTCAGTTATAAAGAATAGTGCAGGTCGTTTACCCACTCTTCTTATTCTTTATGATCGGTATTCGATAGAAAGTTGACCTTGGTGTTCAAATCTTGCAGTTTGCGACGTAAATTGTCGACACGTGTTGAGCGCGTATTTCACTATTGTAAGAAAATACATAGAAAATGGGGTTTCTTGGATTAGACGTGTTCGATGAAGTGAAGCGAATGAACAAAAGACAAGTAACTTTACTTCTGGCTTTTAATCAAAACTATTTTCAGATATACTACCAGGTATTAACTATTGCCATGGTCGTGGCTTCTGCTCTGATGATTTGGAAGCTTTTGGTGGTATTGAGTTATAGTGAAAGCCCCTTAGTAGTGGTCTTGAGGTTTGCTTATTAAGCATAAAAGTGATATTTGAATTTTAGTGGTAGCATGGAGCCTGCTTTTTACCGCGGTGACGTACTATATCTAACAAATTATCCCGATGAACCTATCCGAGTGGGTGACATTGTTGTCTTTAAAATAGAAGGCAGGGAAATTCCAATTGTCCATCGTGTGCTTAAACTGCATGAAAGGTTAGTTTATACTTTGATGCTAAAGTGTAGTTTTCTTGTAAAATGCCTTTCGAACTCTAGAATTGAATCTCGAGATCTACCCTTTGGAATGAGACCAGGAATTTAGTACAGGGTTTTTGCACGTTGCCATGCGTTAGCCGTTTTTTAATATACTGCCAAATCTTAAACCTGCTCATGTTTCCACTAATAGTAATGTTACGCGACGAGTACTACTTTTTCATTTTACAAATAGGTTTCAAATAAACGTTCGAAATGGCAGCTAGTTTGCATATTCCTTTCCACAAAACCATATGCGAGCCCCTAGATACACTCATGCTACATTCCTGGACTATCGTAACTGTTCATGACTCAATCGCTCAAGATATCTGTCAGAACAGTTTAAGTGGACAATTAATGTAGTTGTACCTGTTTCAGTTCAGTTGACTCAGTGGCTTCGAACTAGGCTTGTTCTACTCGCGGCTCTCAGATGCCGGGTGATCTGTGTACATTTGGTTATATATTTTCTCTGAAGGCTTCTGATTTTTCCAGTACTTTCCATATCTGATTTGCTCACAATGTACCAATAATTTCATTCTCGTTTGACACGTGTGTAGCTGAAGACTAGGATGCCAGTAATTTTCAAGTATACTACACCCTTAGCAATTATGATATTTTTCACACTTTACAGTGAATATAACCGTGTGGTAATTAAAGTGTGTTGCACATATCGAACGGTAGTATCATCTTTTGAAGCTGCATCGCCAACCAAGTTTAACCGATATTTGGTTTGTCTTCAGAAGTAAACAGAAAGTCATAATATAGTTGTTTGAGCTCATTGTTGTAGTCGCTTCACAAACACAATTTAGGTTCGTTTTTAGTGAAGATGACGAGGTATATAAGATATGAAATAAGAATTCTAGTTTATTTTGTAACCTACATAGTCATCGGGTTATTGAAATAATTCTGTTTATCTGCTGACAGTTTGTTCACCGAAACAGTTTTAAAAAATAAAGTAGATATGAAAAACCTAACACTGTCTCCTGAATATTTAACCCTCGTTGTGATTGGGAATCAAACAAGACTATTGTCTTATTTTGCCACTTATCTTACTATGAATTATTGGTATGGATGTACCAAGTTTATGTTTAGACTAATAAACACTAATTTCTATCATCGCTTCCTTTTTTCTAGCGTTAATGGTTCCATTAAGTTCCTCACTAAGGGAGATAACAATCCTGTTCATGATCGTGGTTTATATGCTCCTGGTCAAGATTGGTTGACACCATCTCATCTGATAGGACGAGCAAGAGGGTATGTTTACGATATTTTTTTTCTCTTGTTTTACTTTTAAATCTAAAGTATAGTTGAACTACAGAGATAGTGCCACTTCATGTCATCTTGAATTGTACTAAGTCTAACAGTATAATTCTGTGAATATATATATTTAAGTATTATAGATTGCATAATTTTGGATAACATTGTATCACTTTATTTTTAACGGGTGGGAATTACCTAAGACCAAAAAATGACTCTTCCTATGATGAACAAATAATCCAAATATACAGGGAAATAATTTAGAACCCTATTCAGAAGTGTATTAATTCAACTTACCACGCCTAATATCATGGTTTAAAGACAAACAGAGAGGATTGAGTTAAAAAGGGAAGACGATTCCTCGATTTCGATGGTGTAGAGCCATTTACCCAAGCGTTTCCAGTCACTGATACTATATGGGATGTATGAATGCATGCAATTCACAGCACGTAAAGCTCCTGACAATGATATACGCACTAACTACCTTCGGTGCCACTAATGGCATCCCAGAGGCTTTCTCCATAATACTTGCTGTTCACTAGCTCTGGGACTGGATGGGAAAATCGAAGAGGTGGTCAGCCTAGCACATGACACCATCGAATGAAGGATGTATGTGACAGTTTAACATTCTCTCGGTACATCAGGAATTCCTGGGTAGATTCCGAGAGATAATTTGAATTGGTAGCTATAGATGTTATCTGTCAAATATGGTCAAGAATTTTAATCATTGGTGAACACGCTGCAGTCTCCTTCTTGTTTCCTTTTCTGAGTGAATGATGAACGGTTTTGACAAGTGTGCTTACGTGCTTTCTGGATCATCTTCCTCATTTATTTTATCCCTATTTTCCTTATTATTGTTTTATCATTTCGCTGTGGTGATTTTCGTGGTACCCGTAATGTACGAAGTCTGTGGTTTTGATAATAAAATTGGGTCATTCATGGAGAATTCAAACAGGTTCACTTCATATTAAAGGTTGTCTAGAGGAATAATGAAGGCTTCCCAGTTAAGTTGACCCCTCTCAGAGAACATAACCAAATCAAAACCAATACCACTTTTATTTGATCGATAGCTGCTATCTTGAGATGGTAGTCGGGTTTGTGCATACCTCAACAGCGCAATGAGATACACTAGCTAGGATGAATCTTTTATGCCAGAAAGATCGTTTAGTCGGTGGTTAGATTAAAGGCAGCTACCATCATAGTGAGAGTCACTCACATTATATTTGGGGCTTGAGGGATTTAACAACGACAATGAAACGTTTCCCTCGGACGACCAGCAAGCTAGCTATACTATCTCTCCTCTTCGGGGATGAAGAGTTGGCATAAATTGGACCAGAAAATTGTAAATCTCGACTTATCTTGTGGCGGTCCTTAGCAGTTGGTAAAGGATTCACACAGAAACAACTCTTAAAACGACCACTTCGAACAGGTTGTGTGTGATGGGCACTGAGCGACTGTCCTGTAGACTCTGCGTCCATGCAACACTAATACTCTTTTTGTTTTAGGTATTTCAAGAGAAAATCAATCAGTTAATATTAGTTAAAATAAGAGTGGAATCTGACCTTTGGTGACCTGAAATTTTACTGTCATCTTTTTTAGAGTAAAATCTTAGATAAACCAATATCTGCCCCAGTAGTTTGTGTGCATTGGAATGTTCTTATATGATTAATAGATTCTTATCTGAAGTTAACAAGTGGTCTCACCTAAATGGTCTTAAACTAAATCCACCTGAATGTCATATTGCTGATTTTATTTTCAGATATGAACAAGACTTTGATTTGACACTAGTAACTAGTGTGATGTGTCTAGTCCTTTCTTTGGTGCAGACAATTCTATCAGTCAGTTTTGCGATGTGGCCACCATTCTAGGTAGCTCGCTATCATGGTGCACATTGATTTGATGATATTAGATGGTTGGAGGCAATCGGCCACAGGAAGCCTTGGTCCTAGGTTTCGTGCTAGTTAGCACACGTCAGCAAGGCGTATCTGCAACTTTGAAGGAACTCATGTCCCTTCTGAGATTCGAACCCAAGTAAGCAAGTCAGTGCTGCAGTCGGAGACGTTACCACTGGGTTCGAATCTCAGAAGGGACATGAGTTCAACCGTATAATACCATCAAATCAATGTACACCGTGATGGCGAGCTATCTAGAACGGTGACCACATTGCAAAACTGACTGATAGAATTGTCTGCACCAAAGAAAGGACTAGACACATCCCACTAGTTACTAGTGTCCAATCAAAGTACCCACTACAGTCCTACAGGAGGTCAATCGCGAGCCCGAATAGCTCAGTGGTAACGTCTTTGACTACAGCACTGGGTGACGTGGGTTTGAATCTCAGAAGGAACATGAGTTGCAGATATGCCATGCTGACGAGTGCTAACTAGCACGAAACCTAGGTTTGAAGCTTCCTGCCGATTGCCTCCAGCCATCTAATGTGAACAAGACATGCATGGATCAATTCAGTCCCATGATTGTTGTAATATTGACGGCACTGTCTGATAGGGAGTAAATCGAATATCTCTTATCTCTGCATCAGTTTCTCTTCAAATCTCTATTGGTCGTCTTATATCCTGTTGATTTCTAAGAAACGTTTTCTTTTGACGTATTATATAAAGAAGTTGAGATTTTCTGTGGGCATAACTCAACCTCTTCTCTTACAATTCATGTATTTTGCCCATTCTTCTTTATTGTTCGCCCCACTTATTCTCCCCTGGACTTCTAAAAAAGGACGACATCATATAACGTAGAGCCCTGTAGGCTGTAAGCAGGGTCACTAGTATGCCTCAGACACATCTAATTGACATTGTTTTTGGTTGATGGACATTTTGATTGTTGCAAGCAGTTGGCTAAAGTCATCCTGTCTGATACCGAACATCCTTGTTATGGCTGGCAACTTTTTCCTTGTATCTCTCTTCGGGATTGAAAGCAGAAGAAGCTTCATAACAATATATACTCCTACAGTAAAATATAAAAATTCTACTACATCATATTTTTGGCATGGTTTTTGTGTGAATAGAGATAAATGTCAGAAATGAACTTATCAACTTTTTAAATCAGTAACTGGACTGCAAAATATAAGCAAAGATTATTATTTTTACATGTATCATCTATGATATTATCTATTTATAATTCATTATGTTTCTACCAACCTTAAGCTTTTTATGGTTTTATTATTATTTTTAATTTTATGTATGCTTATAAAAGGAGCTGAATTGTTGCAATATGTATAAAAACGCTGAAAATTGCATTCTGTTTGGAATAAAGTAAATATTATTATTATGGCTAAGTAATTTTGTAAAATAAGAATAAAGGTTATCAGAAAAAGGACTCCAGGTGAACATAGAGAAGACGGAGGTGATGAAGATAACCAGCCAGCCAACCGCAACAACAACAATCAGCACCAATCACCATCAAAGGGAGAGATTTGGAAGTGGTTAGTTCCTTCACTTATCTGGCCAGGATGCACGGTTTCAATTACAGGCGGATACGACGGATGAAGATGTCAAAGCCAGACAGCAAGAATCGGAAAGGCAAGATATGCCTTCATCAACCTGAAACCAGTTTGGAAATCTTCTGCACAAACTCAGCCAGCATAAACAACAAGATTCGGATTTTCAACACCAATGTCAAGTTGGTCAGTACTTCTATGCGGTTCAAAAACTTACACTGTGTGTCACGAAAAGGATTTCCAATAGGTTGAAGACTTTCATGAACAGCTGCCTTCGATTGCTCCGTACTGAAGAAGATAAAATGGTCAGCCAGATAAAATTAGCAACAAGAAACTCTGACTGGGAACAAACCAACAAGCAAGAGCCGATTACTCAACAAATATGCAGGAGAAAATGGAGATGGGTTGATCAGGCTTAAGTTGAGGAGGCCATCGAATAACATCGAGCTCAATGCAGGCCATCACTTGAATAGACTCCCAATGGGAAGCGACAAGTGGGTCGTCAGTGCGAGGGTGACATAGACGAAATGACAAATTATGGGCAACCGTGGTGCTAGCCAGATGAAAAGGACGTCAGAAAATAGAAGAAAGTGGAGATGTGTTGTTGAAGCCAGCCCTATGTTCCACTCGGAAAGCAAGGGAACAATAATATTAATAAGAATAATAATAGAAAAAGAAAAATTTGTGATTCAATGGTATCAAAAGAGTGAATGTGTTAGTATAGTCATTGAACAACTTCATTCAGTTAAATTGTTGGCTCACATATTTGTTTTTGTTTTGCGTTTTTAGCTTTATACCTCATGTTGGACAAGTTACTATTATCATGAATGAAAATCCCCGACTGAAGGTAAGCTACATTCAATTTATCTAATAAAAAATCAATTATATATTTACATTACTTTATCGACAAGTTATACCAGCCAGTTACGCCCCGATCTGACTGTTCAAAACTTAATTGCTTTTTGTCAGATATCAGCCAATGGTCTAAGCTAAACGTTCTTACCTTAAATATCCCTATAAATATCAGACTGTTAACTTCACCTTTAGGTATATAAACGTGATCTACAAGAACTGGTCTGTTCACACGATGCTTGTAGCATAGACAGGGCACTGAAATAAAAACTAAGGTAAGGCAAGGCAAGTATAAAATACTTTGGAAGACTTCTATCTTCTGACCTGTCTTGATCATCCCATATCTTGTCAATTTCTAAGAAAATATTCCATCTGACCAACTGCATTAAGGAGTTAAGACAGTCAGAAATCCTTCAACTTCCACTTTTACAGTATGTTAACTTTTGCATCTTACCTATTGTACTTTACTGCTGCCGCCTTAGTCTTTCCTGAGTTACTTAAAAAGGACTATGTCATATTGCGAGAAGTATTAAAAGTTATCAGTAGGGCAAATAGTGTGTCACTTAGTCAGCTTGTTACTACCGTATTTGTTAGATGCCTGAACTCATGTGAACAGTGGTCTAAATCCATCTTGTTTACCCTCAAAACCCCCTTTATTTTCGATTCTCCCCTTGCATCTCATCAGGTAGAATTAGAAATCATTATAAAAGATTAGATGCTCGTACAAACAAGTACAGAAACTCAACCATACTCTATTTGGTTAGCGTTCTATGTGATAGAGATAGTGTTAAGCGAGGAACCTACTACTTTACTATGTTATTAGCAAAATAATTAGCTCTCTTTTATTCTCTCCTATTTGTAATCTATGGCGACAGTATTTCAATTAACTTATAATTTTAGGTATTAACATTATTGTTATTATTTTATACTTTTTGTATATTTTTGATTTTATTGTCACTGCAACTACCAAAAAGAGCTGCTATTATCAATCCTGTAATATTATTGTTTTTACCGTTGTCGAGTAAATAGATGCAGTAATATTGTACCAAATGCTGAGAATTCCAAACTTTAATATAAGCACTGTTTTGGAATACAGCAAATTATTATTACTGTTATACTTCTGTCAGTGGAGATATGGCTTATCGAATCGGCTTAAACACTCGGTTTTCAGCCGGATTGGTCACAGGTCCGAATCCCTTTCTCCACTTACTACAGTTTAGGCAGGTAGATCAGATTAGCTCCACTAGCCCTCATGCGGTAAGTGTAGCTCTTAGCCTAGTACATGGAAAATCTGTTCTGGTTCATTCAGACGCACCCACTTGGGTTCGGACCCAAGACCTTCCGGTTACTAGGCGAGCTCGTAAACAATTCAGCCATTGAACCCGATCCAGTGGCCCATGAATTTCAACTTCCTCCAAATTCACGATATGGCGTGACTATTAGCTAATGTCATCTGCTAGTAATCTGCTCTCGCACCCCACTGACCAGAGGGATACAGCAGGTCTAATGTGAGATTCGAACCCCAGTGGATGCGTACTGATGAAGAGTCTCAAACTAGGCTGAAAGAACAGCTGTCCAGTACTCCATTACTCTATTTCCAATGGTTTTCTAACCTATATCAGCTCATGATGAGATAATCCTGTAACCAGTCAAATCAAATCCCTGAAAAACAAACTTCTGATGAATCTTTCGAGGCACATGGGTGGATTGAAAACGTAGATCCTGATTGGTAGAATTCGTATCTATCAGCTTCCAATTAACTGATCTATTACTTTATTGAACAGTTGTCAGCTTACCTGAGTCACATCAAAATTAATACTTTTTCATTTAAAAAAAAAGACTTAAAAGAGGGATTTTTATCGAGTTATTAGAATTCAGTTACTTGGATCAGGTTTTTCTTGTACGTCAGACTATGTGTATGAGTCAGCCACGCTTATTGTATTAGAACTGATGATACTATTGAGTAATTGTACAGGGTAAAGTAGGTGGGGCGTGCGTCGGTGGCATAGTGGTTAGGACGCTCGCCGACCATGCACATGGTCCGGGGTTCGAACCCCGGCCACCGATGCACTCCTTTACCTCGCTAAGCCAGAAATAATGCTGGTAAAGATGAAAGGTTGGGTATGAGGCTAGCAACCCCATCTTGTAAAATAAACACTGCTACAGAAACTTCAAGCCACTAGCTTGAAGCCCTATGTTCCAGTGGGGAACGTAAACGACAAAAAAATTAGGTGGGGCAGGATTCAAATCTGGGATCTATTGGTTGTGAAAACCAGGTATTTGAGCTAGTGAGTCATATCTCCACTACTCCAGACTTGAAATAATATTCTTCACCAACTATCTACATGTTTATGCATTGACCTGTGAGTCATACTTTTGTGTGTGTGTGTGTGTGTGTGCATGTGAAAGATTCATAACACTAATTCATTATCAGTAATGAATTCAATTGGAGAGAAATTTGTAAACCCCCATGGCGTGTCAATTAAAGTATGACCAGTTAATCTGTTAAGGATGCATGTTCATACATGTTATTACTTCATTAGATAGTTAAGGTTATAATTTTCAAATGTAGTTTGTTTGTGTGTGTGTGTGTGTGTGTATGTGTATGTATCACTTAAAGTTTTGATATTATTAACTTTTTAAAGACTGAATTCAAACATCTTCCATGAAATGATTGAACAGGGCATGGGTGTTAACACATCCTAATTGAATTAATTTATTATACAGATTTCATCATGAGCTGACATCGGTTAGAGGACGATTGATAAGCCCTCTGGGAGTACTGGACAGCTTCTTCGTCCTAGTTTGGGACTCTTCACTAGTATGCACCCATCGCCAGTGCTTGGAACCAGGACCTATTGGTTACAAGGCTAGTGAGCTCGTAGACAATTATGCCACTGGGACCCGCCAATCCAATGGCCACTCAATGAATTACAACTTCTGCCAATTCATGATATGCTGCAACTGGCACTAGCAAATGTCATCACTGGCAAGTATTTTTCCCCACAACCGATCTGATGTAACTCACAGGTCACGACTTCCCACCAGAACCCAAGTAACTAACTACCTATCTGAAGAGGGTCAGTCACACTAGTGTTCATCAGATTGGTGTTCAAGTGTTGGTTTGCATGGATTTGATTTGATTGGTTTCAGGATTTCATCCTTATTAACTGGCATCGGTTAGAGCACCATTAGGAAACCTGAGAGTACTGTGCAGCTGTTTCGTCAGCCTAGTTTGGGATTCTTCAGCAGTTCCGGTGGAAAGTCGTGACCAGTGAGGTACAGCAGGTCGTATGTGAAAACAAATACTCGCCAGTGGTGATATACGCAAGTGTCAATCGCGCTATATCGTGAATTGGCAGAAGTTGGAATTCATGAACTGGTCCCAGTGACTTAATGGTCTTCAGGCTTACCCTGTAGCCTGAAGGTCCTGGGTTCGAATCCTGGTGGGTGCTAATTGCCGAAGAGGACGAAACAGTGTTCCAGTACTCCAAGGTTCTCTAATAGCCCTGTAACCGTTGTCAGTTCATGACGAAATCCTAGAACCAATCAAATTCATGCAAACCAACCCTTGAATTAATTATCATTTATTTTCATTCAAATACAAAGTTAGTACATCATTGAGCACCAAGAGACGCACCACACAAAATCTCATAGTTTGTGCTAGGATTAGGATGCTACTCAAACGACCATACTGAAGCAGATGGTAGTCTTTAAGGGGCTACCTCCACAACCTTTGACTTAAAGTCTGATCCACAAAGCAGTGGAGCCGCCCATGTACATCATCACCACCATAAGGGGTTTAGAACCATGGTTTTCCAACTCCCCTAGATACACCCGCATGTCTACCAGTCGAGTTGTAAGTACCTGACTTTCGGATTTGCCCTTTCGCCTTTGTGAGGAACCCCTCTCCATCCCATCCCCCCGTCGCTTGAAAGCAGTGAATAGGATTTACCTGGCTGGCAGAGACTGCGAACGCATAACTGCATGAGAGCATTTCAAGGAGAGGATCAAAGTCTACGCCCTCTCGGCTATATTAGGTCGTTTATGGGGTGAGTTAATTTAATGCGTACTGGTAACTACCGTCCAGTAAAGCTTAACTTGTCTATAATCGTCAATAGTCAGGTTATTTGTAAAGTTGAATAATTTGTCAGTAAATACATGCGGTACACACACATTATAACTTTTAATACGTCAGTTATTGTGAGGTTCAAATACACATAGATCAAAAGAAAGCAATCGGTATGATTATGAACAATGATTGCCCCTATAAATGACTTAGTACGAGCGAAAGTAGGTAGACTACAGTTTTCCTCTCTAGATGCTTCCTCAGTTTGGCTACGGTCCATAGCCCCTGTCAGCCAGGTATATCCTTTTCACTAATTTCATGCGACAAACATGTTTCTCACAAAATTGAAAGGGCGAATTCTGGGGTTCACACCCCGACTGGTAGACACACAAGCCTACCTACCTACTTAGGGGAGCTGGAGAACCTTGGCTTTAAACCTATAGTGTACATAGACTCCAGAACGCGAAAAAATCGTGTATGAACTTGTTTCGGTCGCCAGAAACCATAGGAACGCTGCTTCCACTACCTTCTGGCTCGGACTCTAGGTCAAACGGCTCCTTAAGACCACTCACTTCCATTCTGGGCATCTGAACACTGTCTCCCAGCTGTTGTACACGCTATCAGATGTTGTATAACTCATCTCTAGGTGTGTACTTTTTTATGATAACAAATTATATCACATACATGTATAAACATGTTTTGATTTTATATCCTCTTGCGTGTTGTTTTTCTTTTTAGTACGGTGTCTTGGGCGCAATGGGTATCTACTTATTCTTAAACAGAAATCAAGACTAACGCTATGCTTGTACAAATGTACATAGTTTATACTTACTACTTCCTTTTCCACTTCCACTCGACCTCCACCCCACCCCACCCCTGCATCCTCCTGCTCTTCTTCTTCGTTGTCGTCGTCGTTTTCGTCGACGACTTTCTTACTCTATGTATAATTTGCAGTCATTTCACAAGAACAAAATTTGATAATTCGTTTTGTTGTGTTTTTGTCACTTTTGTTGTTGTTACTTTCGAGGCGCAGACAAACATTGTCACACTTTGATATGACTATACTATTTTTATTATTACTATTATTTGTTTGTTTTAAAAAAAAAGTCTATTGTTATCAAACGCGCTTGGTTGATCTGGACATCATGTCGTCTTTTTTCTTGTTTTTGTTTTGTTATTTTTATTAATCTTTTAAAAGTAAAATATGGTCTTTCAGATGTCTTTAAGTGAACGGTGTTTTAGACAAACTGTATTGCTGACAAAAAAAGGCAGATAGTATTCGACTGGTGTCGTTTTTTGTTGTTGTGATAATCGATCTTTACATCTTTTTTTGATCATCGGACGCTAGGTAGAAAATACTATAGCTCATATATATCTAGACCAACTGAATTCTGTCGGTCACGGTATGCTGATATTACATGGTTGGGGAGGCAATCGGTAGGAAGCATTGCGCCTAGATTTCGCGCTTGTTGACACTCACTACCACCAGTCAGTGGGGTGTATCTGCAGCCTTTAAAGCACTCATATATCCCTTCCTTTGGTGTATCTCAGTAGCTTTCGCTAACTTACACCGTCTCTGGCATAGGCGTGACATCCGGCTATCAACCAAGGGACGTGTGTACTGATCAGCAGTTCGCTCCGTCCTTCTCTATGGCTCTGAGACATGGCCAATACGAGTTGAAGACATGAAAAGGTTGTCTGTTGTTGACCACAGATGTTTACGATCTCTTTCTCACGTTAGGTGGCATAATAAGGTAAGTAATGTTGACGTTAGGCGTAGAGTGTTGGGCAAAGAGGGAAAATCAATCAAACAGGCTATAAAGTTACATAGATTGAGATGGCTAAGTCACGTGCTGCGCATGTCTAACCATCGCCTCCCCCGACGGACAGGCATTACTAGCTGATATAGGTGCAGGTTGGAAAAGAGCAACCGGTGGCCAAACAAAAACATGGCATCAATCCATGAAATCCTTGACAGTTAAACTGAGTCAGGTAGGGAGGGAGATGCAGACTTCCGGGTTGGAGCCCTCGGGACTCTAAGAAATAATCAATGGCTGGAGACAATAGGGGACATGGCTCAAAATCGTTGTCAATGGCTTACGCAGATGTATTCAGTATCTGTAATCTTTCATAATCCTTTCTACCATTACTCATTCTGTTTCACTCTTATACTTGTCAAAACTCTATTGATTCTCCTCACTCATCTTCTTGTCTACCTGTGTGTGCTATTTGGAACGTAGCAACTGGAACTGTTGCACTTCGGTGCCAAGTTCTATGTTGAATCCAGACAGACAGACATATATCCCTTCGGAGGTTCGAATTCGCGTCACCTAGTGTGCTGCTGTAGTCAGAGGCATTACCAACCACTGAGGTACTCAGGGTGGCAACTGACCTCCTCTGCAGGACTGTAGTAGTAGTAGTGCCAAATGTCTGGTCCTTGGCGGTAATATGTGGACCATCATGGTACAATTTGCTGACGAATACTAAGAGCAGCATAAAACCTAGGTTCCCAAAGCCTCCTGCCTAAAACGCACAATCAGCAAATCACGTCTTACCGCATAAGAAAGTAAAGATTCTTAGAGTTTTGTTCTGTGAGGTGTAGTTGCTTTATGACTACAGAGCTTTCATTGTCTTCCCACTGGACAACACATCTTCAGCACAGAATTCAATATGAAATGAGGTTTGTGTTCTGAATTCTCCGTGGTAGTGACCTTGGTTGTGAAGTTTGTGCTGAAGATATACTGTTTATAAAAGCCTCACAATCATAAACCATTCAGTTTTGGTGAGTAGACTGCACTACTACTTGTCCACCTGAGTTACAAATCTCAAAGTTAAAATTACTGGGATCCTTAGATTCAGCAGAGATTTAAAACAAAGATTCTACGGAGACGGATTTCTCTTCACGAAGGCAACCTCTAAAGATATCTATAGCATCTCTTTAGAATAGTGTGAGGCTTTACTGAGTAATTGAGAAAGATAACTTATTATTCTCAGAAGTATTGAGTGATATGCGTGTTGTTTAAAAAGAAACCGTAGAATATTGAACTTCTTTGTGATTTGGTGTGCTAGTCAGCTGTTATTATTATTATTTATACTTCCTTGGATCCCGAGTGAAGCATAGAGTTTTAGCAAGATATGGAAGTTTCATTGGACACTGGTAACTGGTGTGATGTATCTAGCCTTTGGTGCTGATGCAGACCGAATTCTATCAGTCAGTGAAGTTTGAAATGTGGCCACCATTCTTTCTAAATAGCTCACCATATCACGGTGTACTTTGAATTGTTGATATCAGATGGTTGGAAGCAATCGGCAGGAAGCTTGTTTGCACTCGTCAGTCTCACTCTGTTCTCTGCAGTCTTCGCTTTAGCTGGCTTTAAGATTTAATTGGTGGATGGTGACTAGCAGTGGAATCCAGGATGTGCATTTCGTCCTTTTCGGGACTCGTCATCTAGATGTGCCTGCATTTCTCAGTGAGTGATGATGTTCCCACCGAGGCTCGAACCCAGTGCCCATAGTTTCAAACGCCAATGCGTTATCCACTAGACCATTTGGGCCACGAGAGCCACCTCTTGTGCAACGGGTCATATTGATTTAATTGAATTAAATGCCCAGACATTGTCGAAGCATCTGCTCAAGAAGCCGACACGTCAACGTGATACCGGGCACTTCGGTCCAACCAATCGACGGGAAAATCTAAAATTCAATTGAGGCTTTAAGATTGCCCATAAATTCTCATCTTTTCCATATCACTCTAGGGCACCTGACTCATCGGGTTCCACTCCCTGGGGCCTAGCGCGTTATGTTCCTTAACGGCATCGTCAGTATCCGATACTTCGGCATATCTATTGAGCCACTAGTTTTCGGTTGGTTCGTTTCCAGGGTTTATTGTTGCTAATCCTCACTGGCCGGCCAGCCGGCCGTCTTACCTTCAATATTGGGGGGAAGGCAACTGTTGATAAAAGTCTGCAGCAGTTTGTTTGATATACGCCAAGTTTCTGAACTGCATAGAAGAACTGGTTTCACATGGATGTTGAAAATCGGAATCTTGTGTTTTATGCTTATTGGTGTAGATTTTCACGCTGATTTCAAATTGATGAATGTCTCGCATGCTTTTCCAATCTTGACTGGTTTAACATCTGTGATACACCTGTAGTTGAAACTATGCCGCCTAGATAAGTGAAAGAAGTCATTGGCGGCTGACTGACTGGTCTCGACGTGGAACTTTGCACAGGTGTGCAGCAGTTCGAGTTGTCACACTCCCTCCTTGTAGCACACAAAGCAAGAGAAGACAGCTAATAAACAGAAATATGAGGTAAAAAGAATAATAATTTGGAAGAGTAATAGAATTTTATTGAATACTATAAATCACAAGTGATTGGTGCAGGTTTTGTTGCTACTGCGTGAATATCATTATCACCTTCGTCTTCTCTATATTCACTTGAATTCCTGTCTTTGCTGCCATCCTCTTCTGCTGACTTGTTACTTTCCAACTGGTAGGTCTTCGGTCTTGTATGACATCAGACATCAATTATTCGCAAAGTTTATATTTTTTAGAGTTTTATACCACATGATCTAGTCTACCAGAGTCAGGAATATCATTGGCGGTGGGATAGTAGGATAGTCTTGCCCTACTTGTAGTCTTCACTTCAACAAAGGCTTCTTTGAGTTTTTCTGTTGTGAATCGCGACATGTGACATATATTTTTAATTTTGATTATAGCTTGATTCTACATAGTATTTTGGTACAAGTATGAAATTTTCAGCATGTGATATCGGAAGCCCAAATTTAGCAGGCCGACTATAAATATCAGGTGTGCGTCGACGTGGGATCGAACCTCGGACCATGTGCATGGTCGGCGAGAGTCCTAACCGCTGTGCCACCGACATACAGCTATTGAATGAGGATTATTAGAGTTTTCGCTCAGTGGTAACATCTCTGACTGCATCACTAGGTGATGCGGATTCGAATCTCAGGTCGGTCGGTCGGTTTTCGACATAGAACTTTGCACATATGTGCGGCAGTTCAAGTCGCCACACTCCCTCTTTGTAGCACACAAAGCAAGAGAAGAAAGGAGGAGAAATGCACAATATAGATAGTAGAGGCGTGAGACAAAGGTATAGTAATAACGAAGAACAAAACAGTTTCATTGGAAATCATAAGTCACAAGGAGTGGATGCATCTGCGCCACTGAGAACGATTTTGAGCCATGTCACCATTTGTTTCCAACCATCGGTTTTTACCGTCCCGAGGACCCCAACCAGTCAGGAAGTCTACACCTTCCTACGTGGATGGCTTAGACTAACTGTTGTAGATTTCATTGACTGGTGCCATGTTTTCGTTTGACCGCCGCTAGCTCTTCTCCAGCCTGACCCTATATCAGCTAACATTGCCCGTCGAGGAAGGCGATGACTAGGCATACGTAGCACATGTCCTAACCATCTCAGTCGAAGTAATTTCACAGTCTCGTCGATTGATTTCCCCGCCTTACCTAGCAATCGACGCCTAACCTCAATATTGCTCACCTTATTATACCACTTCACGCGGGAGATAGAACGCAGACACCTATGATCGAAGACAGCTAATCTTCGAATCTCAGGAGGGACATGAGTTCCCTCAACGTTGCAGATACGCCTTGCTGATTTGTGAGTGTCAACTAGCACGAAACCTGTATCAGGCAAGGCTTCCTGTGGCCGATTGCCTCCAACCATCTAATATCATCAAATCAATGTACACCGTAATGGTGGCCACATTGCAAACCTGACTGATAGAATTCAATCCGCACCAAACAAAGGACTAGACACATCACACACTAGTTATTAGTGTCCAATCAAAGTGCTCTGCAGTGTTGAAGCACTTTACAAATTACTTTACGGTTGATGCCTGTCGAATGCTTTTCTAGAGTCGACTAAGTTAGAGTACATATATTAACCTCTGTATAACTACGTATTCTAGTCATCTTTGTTACTCGTTCGGGTCTTGACGTCACAATACAGATATGTATAAGCGTCGGTGGCATAGTGGTTAGGACGCTCGCCGAGCATGCACATGGTCCGGGGTTCGATCCCCGGCCGACGCGCTCCTTTACCTCGCTAAGCCAGAAATAATGCTGGTGAAGAGGAAAGGTTGGGCATGAGGTTAGCAACCCCATCCTGTAAAATAAACACTGCTACAAAAACTTGAAGCCCTATGTTCCACTGCGGAACGTGAAGTAAAAAAGATAAGCACCTTGTTTAACTGCTTAATTTTTTTAAAATAAATCTCAGCGTACATTATAAGCGTAAAC